AGAGAGAGAGAGAGAGAGAGAGAGAGAGAGAGAGAGAGAGAGAGAGAAATAACAAATGAATTTTAATAATAATTCTTTATACTCAAGTAGTATACTTATGTCAAGAAAAATAGGTTTTTCTTTTTCTTATTAAACACACAAAAACACATACTATTTAATTTTGATCGAACTCGGAAATAAACATAATAAATGTTAATTTCCTTTTTATTTCAAATCGATTAATTTGTTATCAAATAAAAACAATATTTCAATTACTTTTCCAGTTCTCACGACATAGATTTTTCATATTTTACAGAATATGATAAATACATTATTTCCTTTTCCTATACATAAATTAGAATGATTAACCTCTAGATAAGAAAAAAAGACATTGATACTTCAATTTCTTATTAATTATTGAAGATTACTATGGGAAAGAAAAACGTCTTTTTTTCTCTACATACATGTCTGAGATTATGACATAGATTCTGTAATGAAATAATGAGATTGACAAAATTAAAATTTGCACATGTTATGTAAAAGAAAAAAGCAATTCTATTTCAAACGAACATGCGATAATATATATACGAATAGTTTATGATCTTGATGGAAAATCGGATAAATTCCTAGGTGATAAACAGCTTATATACGGAACAGTGCGTATACAAAAAAAAAGTAATGATCTTCTAATCAGAAAATCGTGTATTTATAACCTGGTAATACCGATCGGATATCGTACGTTAAATCATATTATCTATCTGAGTTGATATACATCGTTTTCATTAGATAGAAGTAAATCAATATAAGTGTGTTGGAAATATCTACGACGCAATTGTTGTTTGCAAGTTATTATTTTATTCATTTGAAAAAGATGATTAAAAATGTAAAAGTTAACATCTGAAAAACGTGCCAAAAACCTTTTATTATAATATTTTGACGCCTATTTACGAGTAAAAACGACCTTCTTATGAATGATATATATTGAAAATATCATGAAAATTTTTTTTCAAGGTATAAGAAAGTACTTTTTCTAGTTCTATTTATGGAAATGATTCAATAAGAATCAACATATTTTTACAAACTTTTATCGCGTTGATTAGGTTTCTCTATTGTTAGAAAAAAACTAATTTTATAATGATATATACTTAAACATGTATCAAGAATGAGAACTGAGTTGTTTTCTGTTCCTTAGAAATGACACAAAATATGGGTTCTTAATGTTTGAGGAAATGACGTCGTTTTCATAAATTACCATTTCGAGTTTATGTATTCTGAATTAAAAGAGAATTCAGGAACTTTTTAATGTATACCTAGATATCAGGAATTGTTTTTCTCTTGAATGCTAGACATTTTACTGTTTTTGACGTGATGTATATAAGATATTCCAAGAATATGACCGAGTGCGAATACAATATCATAAAATTAGTCTTCGTCTATCAAAAGAAAAACAAATAAAAGAGATTTAGTTCCAAAGACGACTATAAATATTTGATCCAGGAATGAGAGATATGTAGGTTTGTACAGAAAAACTATCTCTAGCGATTGGTATATATACCATCGAATTATGTTGAGTACCGTAAAACTCGATTCTTGGCTTGAATTTAAGCCATTTAAAGACATGTATCGGAGTCAACTAAATCTCTTGCCCATAATTCATTTTTTACATTAAATTTTTTTGAGGTGAACGTTTTGTTCTCTGACGTTTTCTCTACAAACTGATGTATTATGAGGGTTCAAATCAATGTTTTATTGAGGTTCACGGACACAAAAGAAAATTGGATGCCTGTCTCTGACTGGCTTAAATGCAAGCCAAAAATCGATTTTTACAGAACTCGATGGTATATATACTATTCGATAGAGAAAAATTTCTTCTACATACCTACATATGTCTCATCCGTGGGTAAAATTTTACTATGAAATTTGTAGTCACCTTTTAAAATATTCCCTAGTTTAGAAATAATGAACTCCATCTACAGTTATCTCTTTAACTGTATTACATCAATTCGGCCTAGTTAAGTATGTTCCAAATGTGGAGTTTCCGGATATCTAAACTCTACCTGATAACTGTAATTATCTGTTTTTGATTGCTCTAATAGATACTCTATACCGTGCTGAATCGATTCGTGATGCTCGAGAAAAAAAAGTACATAGTTACAAGCTACAATTTGTCGAAAAACTTGAAATTTGGAGCTCACTCAACTCGACCCATCAATTCTAAGATAATTGAATAGTCATATATCCTAGACGTCTTTTTGTTTCTTGAATTAAATTATATATCAAAATATTTTTGTCAACTAATGCCCTCTACGCAATAGTTAAACTGTCGGTTTCTTTTGAAATACCAATGATAGAAGACTAGTTGTCATGAACTGGGAAAAAATGAAAAATTCGATTCTATTTTATATATTTTCCTTAATTGTTTTTATAGAATTATTTCATTGATGGATTCAACAAATGAAGAACATATAATAAGAGAACTTTCAAAAAATTCAAATAAATCATTTGACTATCTGCACAAAGCTTTCGAAGACATGAATGAATGTTTAAGTAACGACGAAACTTTTTTTAACAAAGAAATTGAAGCAACAATGTATTATGTCAAAACTATTGAAATAAAATTCCGTGAAAGAATTCAAGAATTTCGTAGTCAACTTGAAAAAATTAACGAAGAAAATATTAAAACATCAAAATCCAATAGAGAACAATTTGAGAAAGAAACAGAAAAAATTAATTCATTATTTGATTCTGGAATTTTATATGAAGGTATTTTAAAATCTCTATTTTTAATATTCTTATTATCATTTTTTTTCTTTCTTTTTAAGCTTTAAAGAAATGTACAGAATATGAAAAACAATTTGTACAACGAAAAACAGTAATTAATGATATACCAAAATTACATATGAATGAACAAATGATTGAACAATTGTTTTCGCCAGAAAATCAAAATCAAAATCGTTCAGTACCATCAGCAACTAATCAACGTTTGATCGAACAAAGAACTAATGTCATACCTGATATGCCAAGTTCAATATTCGATGATGATAGACAAGATAATAGTCAACGAACTGCTAAACAGAGATTACGTGGAGAAAAAGTTATTGAAAGCATGACGGTCAATAAAGAAGATGAGGAAATGGTAAATGATAAAAACGATCATGAGTATGATAAGTAAGATTTAGAAATGAATGTTTCGAAAAAAAAATTATGATTTAATTATTTAGCTCAAAGTTTGGTATTCGATCAAAACCAAGAGAAAATCATCAATCAGCAACAGTACCAATAAGAACCATAACACCAACAACACCGGTAATAAACACAACAACGACAGCCACAAGAACAACAGTACCAGTAAGAACCGTAATACCAACAGCACCGGTAACAAACACGACAACGACAGCCGCGAGATCAACAGTACCAGTAAGAACCATAACACCAACAGCACCAGTAACAAACACGTCAACAACAGTAACACCAGTTGATAATATGTAAGATTCAATAAGAAGAGTTACGCTACTGCGAGAATTTTTAATCGAAATTTTAAATGTTTGATTATGATTATAAAGAGCTTTTAATTGATTTTAGATTAGTGTAACTATTAGGATGATATCTAGATGTATCAAAATGCATCGTGACAAAGAAAAAGTAGCTCTGAAGATGTTATATAGTAGATATCGAAAACAGAACTTTCTTTATAAAATCTACAATTGATTTTTTCGATATTTAAAAATAGTTTGAGTTGATCGTGAGATAACGTTTTTACATAAAAAGGCGTATGATATACCTAGCAGTTAAGAAAGTTCGCTTTTTATCCCATTGAGAGTTAAACCTTCAGTCACGAAGATCATACAGAATAAGCTTTACTTCATCTACAACTATTCTATATATGACTTTCTTAATTCAGTCTAGTTTAGACAACATGAAGATGCGAGTTCATATTTCTTTGGATTTAAATTTGATTTTAGTTATGAAATAGTTATCTACAGATAAAAACGAGAACATAAAAAAAGTTCAGATATAAACTTATGTATTTAACATGCTCTATTTAATATTACAAACTATTTGTAATTCGATTATTATGAGATTTTTTTTTATAGAGATGTATTGAGTACTTTAGTCACCGAAAGAGCTACTTTTTTTATCCAATGCTTTCTACATACAATTCATTAAAGTTATAAATATCCATAGAAAATTATTACTCAAAATATTTTTATATATGAAATAGTAAACATTTACTTCTATGAAGTATATCAACGTTAAGAAATCATTATGTTAAAGTTACTGTGTGCATTTATTGAAATTAAAAATGATACAATAAAACGATATTTATTTTTTTAGGAAAAATGATACAAAATCTCCAACAACGAATCCTACTTCGCAGTCAATGTTTCGTTTTAGTACACGATTGGGACCATCATCAAGTAATACAAATACCTCGGTTTTTCATCGTAATATTTCTACTCCTCCTACTATACAAAATACCAATGTTATTTCTCATAATAATCAAGAACAAGTACGACTTACACCACCAACTCCACCAAATTCTGTTCGTTTTCTAACTGAACAACCAACAACATCTGATGAAGATAGTCCATTTAAAATTTTAAAGTCAATACCTGGTAATTATAACAAACATAACTGATCGATATTTATAAAATAACAGGTTTTAATTATCTTCTATGAGATAGTTTTAACTCTCAGTTAATATATATGAAACTATAGAGCAATTATTTTTTTATAGTTTACAGAGAAACTATATGATTTTGTTTAGTTTTAGAATATTATATTGAACCAAATTATCATCTATTAATGACATGTAATGCCGAATATATAGTACTATACAAAAGTCAAATTACTCGATTAGATAGATGGCGTTTAGATGCCATCCAACGTGGTTCTCATAATTCATGTATACTTGATTGGCATGATGGTCTTATAATATCCATGGGTTTAATTGAAAAAAATACTATTTATATGTTTACAGAACACGAATTTTTTATGTACTCAATTACTTCAGGTCGTAAAATAGATGCACGTATGTTACCACGTGGTACTGACGATGGTTCTAATATAAATAGTGTTCCTTATAATAATTCTCAACGTGGTATTGGTGCTGTTTATGGTGATTTCATGTATCATATTTATTTAAATCATCATTCTCAATGGACATTATCAAAAACTATACTTGATAAATTAGCTCGAACTCCTAGTTATAATTTAACAACTATATTTCCTGATGTTGAACGTTTTATACATTTTTGTGTTAATGCGAAAACAATAAATTTTCTTGTTCAAATGAATGATTCATCTTATGCTGTTGTATTTTGTTCAGTTAAAAATTGTAATTCAAATGAATATCGATCAACAGTTGTTACTTTATTACATGCTCAACAACCATTAACAATTTGTTCAGCATTTATTCGATGTCAAGATAAATATATTTTTTATATAAATGATCCATCAATTGATATATTACATGCAATAGATATTGAAAACTATTTATATGCAAGTCAAATTCTTGCACATGCTATATGTTATGAAGAAAATAAAGAAGAATTAATGGTTGTAACAAACAATTCAATATGTTCGATTAATGTAAATGAAGAAAATTCAATTTTAAAAAACTTTCGGTGATTTATTTGTCAGATGTATAAAATATAGTTTTTCTTTTCTCTACTCTTCCACGCATTATTATATGAAACATGTTTACGTATATTGAGCATGTGTAATTTTTTTAAAGTATAAAATAAACAACAGAAACAACAACAATAAACAAATTATGAAAATGTTCATATCAATAATTGATACACTATTTTGTGCTATGTAAGGCATTGTAATATCAAAATTCTCATTTGATGAAGTTACTATCTCAGAAAATTTCATTGAATATATTCTTTTTTGAATCGCTGTTGATATCGTTCAAGACGGGCAAAGGCACATAGAATTAAATAACATGAATTTAGATTGCATTATAACTATGAATGTGACAGGGTGTGGGTGGGTGTGAGTGTGTGTGGGTGGCTACCAGTGTGGATGGGTGAGTGTGGGTGGCTATGGGTGTGGATCGGTGAGTG